ATGTGAAACATATGCAGCATCCAGATAAACACACATGCAAGGTCTAAAAACAGATGAAATATTTACAACAGACGCTTGCAACATTCTGTACAAACCATTGTACATATGCAACATCCCGATATACTTTTGCAACATCCGTATGAAACACTTGCAACATACCTCTAAAACATCTGAAACATACGTTTATAACACGCTTTTTTTCAGCGCAACATGGCACGAACGGTTCGGCGAACTAACGCGGTGGAGGCGGCCGCGACAGCAGATGGCGCGACACCCGACGCGGTGGTGGCGGCCACAACAGCAGATGGCGACACTCGACGAGGTGGAGGAGGCTGCGGCAGTTGGATGGAGGTGCCCCGCCGCGGTGGAGTCAGCCGGCGGGCCTACCTAAACGCTACGGCTCAAGGACAGCGGTGAGGAAGGATAGGGCCGACGCGGCCGAAGAGCTTGGCGACAAAGACGGTGGTGTGGCCTGCGCCTTGGTGCTGTCTATCCACTACAGCAGCACAGGGTGAATCTGGACGGGCGAGGGCGCGCACGTGGGCGGGAGCGAGGGGCGCTGGCGGAGCGAGGCGCGCGGGCAGAAGCGAGCGACGCTGGCAGAGCGAGGCACGTGGGCAGGAGCGAGCGGCGCTTGCGGGAAGCGAGGCGAGCGGAGCTTTTGTTTGTATGGGTGGTTATTAGATGCATGTAATGAGAACGTGGCGGTTGTATATGTCCGATGGAAATGGGGGCGTCCGAACGTCCTAAACTGTTGTTCGCGCCACACACCGTATCGTGCTAACAGTGACCGATCGATTCAATTCAAGGCACCCAGATGCATCGGTCAAGCATTGATCGTCTCTGTCATTGTCGAAGACGATTATTATTAAACAAATGGTATAAGTATAGCAGAATGAACAAGATAACATAATGGCAGTGTGTGGACAGGCAGACATGCTTGTTTCCTGTCACTATAATATAGGAGTATTATGTCTTAATTCTTAAACCGTCACTAACATGTATTTGAGCTGTCGTGGTGATCGATGCATAGGTATGCCGTACATATGCGTAAGTTGAGAGTTTCTCAAAAAAAAAAAGGTAGCATGTGGCGTGTGGGGTGTGGACTCAGCTCACTGGTGTCTGGTCGCAGATGGAGGACGCAGAAGAGAGGAGAGCGTTGTTTTTGTTCCTGCAGCTACAGGCTCGGGCGCTCGATTGGCAATCCAGCTATAGTACGGTGTTTTTCTCTTACAATAAAATATCATCAGGCTGATAAGGCGCAAAAACCATCAGAACAACTAGACGCACGCGAGGCCGTCCTGCTGTCTAGCGTCACACGCGAGGCGAAGGTGAGGCTTGAGAGCAAAGCATGGATGTTGGATTCAGTATAGTAGTGTAGTACAGTATTCTTGGTCACTGTCTACCTTCCATTTCATAGTTTTTGTCTGCCTGACAAGTTGACATGCATTGGTCACCACGTTGGTCAATAATGGGCCACTGGACGTCCGGACCCTGTCCATGTCGATGCTGATGAAAGAAAGCACGTCGACTGGTCCACGGTCAGCAACGGACGGAGACGAGAATCCTTACGTACAGTTGCAATGACCGGGAGTCCGCGTTCCGCTGCTTCTAGTATGCTACTATCTCTACGGTCTACGCAGCCTTACGATCGAGGAGTACTCTTCTCTCATCTCTTAGCCACTAAGCAAAACATTCATTCATATGAGATGACATGATGACAGCACTCTATCATCTGACCTGTCAACACAGTAAAATATGTCGAAAACAACGACTCCAGTTTTCTGAATGGAAATACTCGTACAAGGATTCGGCGACATTTAATTTGTTTTATTTAAATTTTGGCCCCCTTAATGATGGTTGCAGTCGATCAGTTCGTGGCAAGCCATCTACCAACCTAACACGATTGCAAGTTGCAGCATAGTTGGCCATGCAGCCCGAGCCCGTCGGCCCGACCCAAGGCCTGTTTTTTTGCCCGGCCCAAGCACGGCCCGGCCCGGCGGCTAGCGGGCTCGGTCTGGCATGGCCCGGAGGAGCTGGCCGTGCCTGGGCCTTACCCTAGGCATGTGGGCCGGCACGGCACGGCCTGCTCCGAACCGGAGGCCCGCTGGCGGTCCGGCCTGCCGCGTCCCCGCGCCCCGCATATATAAGCGGGGAGTCCCTGCTCGCTCAATCGCCTCGCCTCGCCCGCTCCACTCCGCTCCCAACCCTAATCTCCCAACCCTAATCGTAATCCCCACTCGCTTCGCCAGGCAGCCTGGCCCGATCCCTTCGCCCGGTCGCCTCGCCGCCGGCCAGCCGCTCCGCATCCGCTCCCAACCCTAACCCTAATCCCACTCGCTCGCTCGCTCACGCAATCTCAATCTCTCTCTCTCTCTCTCTCTCTCTCTCTCTCCGCATCCACGATCTGGCGAATCTAAGTCTCTCTCTCTCGTGATCTACTGATCTCGTATGTCGTCCCCGACTCCGGTGACTTCGATCCACCTATCTGACCCTGTCTCCACTCTCCTCCCTTCTCCCTCTCTCCTCTCTCGCTCTCGGTGAACTATGTGAGTTCGTGACCGTGTTCCCGTCCATCCTTCCTCCGCCGTTCGCCGTTGTTTCTAATCGGTGTCTCTCCTCTGGGTGGCCCTCGTCATCTCCGGCACCGAGCTCTGGTTGCGCAGGTACTCCACTAACCCTAACCCTAATCCTATCTTCTTCACTTCTTGTGTCTCTTCCACTGAACGACATCTCATTTTGGTTATTTCTGTTATCTGTTGGCTTTGGAGTTTGATATCTCTGTTGGGCTGTGAATGTATCGGACATTTGGACTTTGATTATGTGAATGTACGAAACTGTGATATGTGAATGTATGAAACTTTGATTCTGTGAATGTATGAAACTGTGATATGTGATCTGTGAATGTATTGAACATTCCGTGAATGTGTGAAACTGTGATATGTTCGATTCTGTGAATGCAAGGGTAACGGGCCGTGGACTGGCATGGCTCGTAATTCTGGTCGTGCTTCGCGGGCCGGCACGGCACGAAAAAAGGCCCATAGTGCCGTCCCTGGGCCGAAGGCCAGGCCCGTGGCCCTAAGAGGCACGGCCCGGGAGGCCCGACCCCTATCGGGCCGTGTTTTCTCGGGGCCGGGCCGGGCCGGCCCGTTGGCCATCTATTTGTAGAGGATGCATGCGATGGATACGGCTGCGCTGATTTCCATCACACGATTAAGGCCCTGTTTGGTTGAGTCATGGCGGGAGAAAAAGCTCATGTGGGGTGTGAGTGTGGAAAAAAAAAAAGCTAACGTGGGTCAGAGTCAGAGAAAAGCTGAAAGCTGTTTGGTTAAACAAGTATAAAATATACCTTTTATCTTTATCTCTCTTGAAACAACTATGGAAGAGCTTTTTATTCCACCAATTTCGAAAAGCAGAAAGCCAAAAGCCAAAAACAAGGTCAAACCAGCTTTCAAAAATGAACTACGGAAAAGCAGCTGCTTCTGAAAAAGCACCATCCAAAAGCAGCCCCTTTGGTTAGGTTTTTGGCTTTTGGGGCCAAAAGCCAAAGCCAAAAGACCAACCAAACAGGACCTAAGATGTGGCAGCTGCAACCAGATTACCAGAACCGGGGGTCTGTCTACTGATCAATCCTTCTCAGGATATATACGTATACGACCATCTCTGAGACTTTTATCACTGACAATGAATACCCTGACCTTGATCAGGGATATGGTATCTTCAGCTCACAGGAGAACCTCTTCCAAGATACCCTGACAATGAATCCACTGCAACTTCACAAAGAGTCCCATGATGTTCAAGGAAAAAAAAGAGCCAGTGACATCATGCCTGGATTACTACGGGCTTGTTTGGCACAGGTCTAGCTTTCAGATCTACGCTGAGTTTGTAGTTTGTAGACTAAATTAAAGTGATTTAAATATTTATATGTAATCTAAAATTAAATAAATGCACTTAACATGTCTGCAACTCTAGATCCAGGATTTCCTATGCCAAACATGGCCTACATACAAATGCAGAGCGAGATACACTATGTCTCTATCTGATACTCCTAATAAATGTGTCACCTTACTACTATTCAGGCATATCTTGAGCCCACAGAAATCTCACTCAGGATGTGCACATTAACACTTATAAGCTTGGCAAAATTAATGGCCCCATGGAAGAGCAAATGACATCATGAGATCTAGCCTTGTTAAATTTGTTGGTTTCAAATAGGTACCAAACCAAATAAGTATAAATAGTATTTTCTCTCTCAAAAAAACCAAAGATCACCAAATTTCAAACCAAAGACCAAAGACCAAAGACCAATCAGCTTAACGACCCATCATTACGGGGAAAAATGTGAGTTGAAACCTGGAACACATGCTACTATATAAATGCAATCGCATCCTTTTCTTTGCTGACCCGGGAATTACTTACAACACGTCCATTACGTCAGACCTTGAGTGTTGTCTCCATCTCTTACAGATATGTATCTTATAGATATATCAAAATGACCTTGGCGTACAAAATCTTATAGAGATATATAGTATCAGAATGAATTCATTAGCAATAAATGACCATCTATCGCTTACAAACCTTCGATGCTAAGGAAGCCAAGGCATGGATGCACGCCTATGCCTGCTGCAGAAATACCGTAGAAAAAAAACCAAAACCACCTCTTTCCACGCACCTTTTTTTTTGTCGCATGTGATGCAACCAAGGACTCTTCCAAGGTGACGCGACTGGGGCATTGACGAATGGTGGCCTCTCCTGCTGCCTTCTGTGTATAAATACGGCCTCGTCCCTGCATCCATTGCTTTGCAGAAGGCAGGAAGAGAACTGAAGCAGAAGCAGAGGTCGGTGAACATCTGCTGCCTGCTTCACCGTACCTGAAGAGGAAGGAGGAGAGGAGAAGCCAGCCAGGCAGCCAAGATGTACAACGCGCCGCCGCCGCCGCAGGACATGTCCTACTATGAACACTGCCAGAAGCGCAATGAGGAGAAGGGCTGCCTCTACGGATGGTGAGTGAGAACGATCTGCTTCTCCTCCTCCTCCTCCTCCGTTCTGTTCTGTCATGTTGGCACGCTGGGAGGGTCGGGAATCGGGACGCGGTGTTTTCTTTGGTCATGCTTCGTGGTTTCGTTTCAGAGCTAGGGAACTGCGCGCAGGGGTTCAATCAGAACGCCGCTAGTTCACCAGCAAGTTCAGCACACGCGTTAGACTTAAATTCAGCAAAAGCATGCATCTGCGTATGTATGCCGGTCTTCCTTTTTTTCCTCTTCCGTTTAGAGTTTCGGTCCTTTTTTCATGTCTCGTCAGACGAAGGATTGGGCCCATGTCATGGCACCAAACAGTAGGAAAGAATCTTAAGTAGCTGGCCGGTAGATAGATGGCGACTTGGCGAGTTGGAGTTGTTGCTGGCCTTTGCCAGCCAGCATCACAATTCCTAGTGGAGAGGAGAGGCAAGGGGCAAGGGGAAGAAGGATCTTGCACAGTTGCACCTGATTTTACCCACTCACGCACAGACAGGACGCGCATCCATAGCATGACTGAAAACGGCTGCCAGTTGCAACTTGTTTCTGCACTCTTTCCCAGCCTACCAGGAATGAACTGCCTATTCCATTTTTAAAAAAAAAGGCTATTCACATTAGGAGGCTGCCTCTTGTTCCAAGAAAAGTCTATGAATTGAAACTAGTATCCTGACGAACAAAAACAAAGACTGAAGTCTTTAGTCCGTCATTCACGCCATTTTTTGTGTGAAATTCATGGGGCGGATTTTCCGAGTACAATCTATACGATATAGGTAGGGTGGAAAACCACACCAATAATTGTACAAGACCGTCGCTGGCAGGTGGGACCACCGGAGTCCTACTGTCAAAGACGCGACCGACCGTCCCTTTCGTGCGTGCGCTTTGTGCCGCCGGTGTGAACAGCGAAGGCTAACCGCCGGTACACGTACACCCTTCTCTTCATCTTCTGCTTCCTTCCCCGTCTATAAATTCTACCCACTAGCCAGCCAGCAGCCCACCACCCATTCCACCAACCAAGGGAGAAGAAGAAGATCAGGAGAAAGAGACGAAACCCTTGCTCATTCATCAGTTAGGTTAGTTCACCATCACCACCACAGCTCCGCAAGGCGACTAGGCGAAGATGTACAACGCCCCGTCCGCCCAGGAGATGTCCTACTTCGAGCACGTGCAGAGGCGCCACGAGGAGAAGGGCTGCCTCTACGCCTGGTGAGCTACAGCTCCATCTCCATCTCTCCCTTTCAGACAGAAGTCGATCAGTTGCTTTCTTTCTTCCTCTCATGAGTAAGTTCAGAGAGAGAGAAAAAAAGAGGGTTTTGTTTCGTCGTCAGCTCAGGTCTAGTTGCCATGGCCTGGAACTTGAGCTCACTCACAGATCTTCCTTCGTAGCTTCTCCGTTAGTTTGTTTCCAGTGTTCTATTGTCTTGGATCATCCCTTTTTTTTTCTTCAGAAAAAAACCGACGCGTTTTTTCTCTCTCCTTCAAATATCCGTAGCTTGACTCTTTTGCCGTATGCTCTGCTCTGCGTACATCAATTTCTCCAAGTCCTTAATTTTTTTGATGAAAAAAACCGGCAACTCCTTAATTGTACACTTGTAGATCCATGGAGAACCATGCCTGCTTTACTTGCATCATCTCCGAGAGTCAAGTTTCTTGTTCAGCATCCACCATGCACCTTTTGTTTGCGCGTGAAATAGATGCTCGTTAAAACATCTTGCTTTGCATCGTCCAGACTTGTGTGCCTGAAGAATGAAGACCGCTTTCTACTGAACTAACTGACTCTTGTTTCTCTCATGTGCAGCATCTTCACGGCGCTCTGCTGCTTCTGCTGCTACGAGACCTGCGAGTGCTGCCTCGACTGCCTCTGCTGCTGCTGCAACTAGGCCGGGCTCCGGCTCCAGAGGACGGTCCAGATGCAGATGGAGATCGCCTCCGTCTCTTCTACCTACCTAGTGATGATGATGATTCAGTTTCAGTAGCCTGCTTCCTTTAGTCTGGTCTGGTTCTGCAAACATAATAAAGCATGTATGTCGTAGTACAAGAGAGATTACTCTGTCAGTTTGAGCATTCGTAAACCAACCATGGTTTGAACCACCGCATCTATCTATTGTTATTGTTAATCACCCGATTCCAATTCTCAGCACAACGCATTCGTTCGCAAATTTATCTGTAGTGTACTGCTGCTATGCGTACCGATGGAATTTATTCTTCTTTTCTTTTCATATGTATAAAAAAGGTGCAGCAATCATGGCAGAATTCAGGTTCTGGGGAACCCTGTTCGACTGTCGTAGGGTAGGGCCGATCTTTTCATGTCTGAATTATCACCATCAGCACAAGGTAGATCAATGATCCGACGCCCGAAGATCAGTGGCGAGCTGCTCTCCACTCTCCAGTGACAGGTTGAGCAGGTTAACCTGCCGCGCTCATCAGCTTGGACTGATGCAGAACAGTTTGCCAAGATCTTTTCGGTGTCGTCCTTTCTGTTTGCAGTTGGTGCAACCACCTGTGCGACACAACTTGTGCAGGACAAAAGCCTTTGGTTGGCGTCATTCGTCATTGTCCCTGCACAAGATGTATCAATGATGATTTCTAGGACCATGCTGACAAAAAAAACGTTCACCCAATCACCCTTCAGTACTACAACCGTTTGTTTGTACGTTACAGACTACAGTTCCATTTGCCATGGCAAAATATTAGTCCTTAAACTTTTGCTGCTAAACTTTAGTCTTGCTTGAGGTGTTTAGATCTATGGCAAAAGTTTAGGCTAAAAATGCAAAATGAGGTGTCCTTCACACCTCCAATGCTTTTAGCCCAGTTTTGCACCTCTTCAGTGCAAATGGCAAAACTTTAGCCCTCTCCTTTTGCTTCACCTGTTTAGATCTATTTGCCCAAAACATGGGCTAAAAGTTTTGCACCTCGTGAAGTTTTGGATGAGGGGTGTTTAGATGCTTTTGGAATGGCAAAAATTTTGCCCCTAATCTTTGGCATTCAAACTTTTGGCATTTGGTGTTTTGATGTATGGCAAAATTTTAGCCATGCAAACACAGCACGCGCTCCCAAGATATTTTTTTGCCTAGTTTTGGGCATCTTGGGTCACAAATACCAAAAGTTTTGCAGGCCAAGTTTTGCAGTTTTTGCCTATGGTGTTTAGATCCATTTTGTCAAAAGACGAGATAAAACAGCAAAAGTTTTGACCAAAATGGGAAACTAAACCGGCCATGAGTCGTCATGGCTGCGAGCCCATGCTGCTATCTCATGGCTTGGAAATGTCAAAAGCAGCTTTGCTACATTACAGTTGTCGATGATTGCAATAATTATGGGGTGTTTGGTTTGGGCTGCTAAAGTTTAGTTGGCTAATTTTAGTCACTTTTTATCCCAACACTACGACTAAATGGGCATTAGCTAACTAGTCACCGAGGGGTTGCTAAATGGGACTAAACTTCACCTTTTAGTCAGGCTGCCTCACTTTGACTAAAAATGACTAAAATATCTCTTTTAGTCATCCAAACCAAATATCGAGTGACTAAAGTTTAGTTCATGATTTAGCTAATAAAGTTTAGCGAGGGAAACTTTACAAGGGGACGGCGATTGAACAATGAGCGGGCCTCACCTTTTTACGTTGGGTGCAGAGAACACAGCATCGATCGACTTTTCACCAGTCTTGGACGTGCAAAATGGACGTCAAGATCAGGGGAAACAGAGCAACTGGGAAAGAGAGTGGTGGATGCTTTGTCAGCTAGAATATCTCAACGACAGTTCATCGTATCAAATTCGTCGGGAATGTCTCCTCACGACCTTACAGACGTTCTTTTCTACGCTCACAGTGATTCAGAAGTTTCCTGCTGAACTTTTACAGAATCTGGCGGCAGAAGCATTCAAGCATAGCTCAGTCTGCTTTCTCATGTTCAGTCTTATGTTGATGCAGCAGCTAGGAGTAGTTCTACTGAAAATGCATTGATGATGTCCTTTTCAGCAAAACTAGATCAACCACTGCCGCTGTGATAAATTACACGGTTACACGGCTCTCAAGGTCTGCAGGTTTTGGATGGCTATAGCATTGCATTCAAGCTCTGAAATTTCAACTTCCTTTCAGACAAAAAAAATTCATGCTTGCAGCGTTTGATACACGTAAAAGATTTCCCTACAATCCAAAACTGTTAGGATTCCTCAACCAGTAAAACAAGAATATCGTTCATTCCACGTTCCACTACAACGGAACACTAGCATGATGAAGTCATGAAAACACAGAACAAAGACTGGGCATAGCCGTCTAGAGAAAGCGCCATGGCTTCAAAGCCCAAGTTGGATCACTGCCAACTACATGATCTACCAGCTCCAAAGCTTCTAGAGCTGCTTTGTTGCATGTCTTCAGACTGGATGCTGACTAGTGATTTCCTTGTACCAATATCCAAGGGCAATAGAGAAAACCCAGAAGCTTATCTTTACGTTCATCGCGTGTATGACATTAGGGTGATAAGCATTTCTTATGAGAGATGAGACTTTGCGACTCTCTTGTTCCTCCAGCAGGATTTGATCCGACGTATCCAAATGATACCTATTCAGTGGACGAAAATAAGGGATCAAACTCTTAAAAGCTGCACACCGAACAACATGATAGAAGATATTAAATATTTGCTTTTAGATGAGGTGACAAAAGGGAAGATAACTGGACCATATGCCATCCTCTGTAGGCCTGAATAATTAATGTTGACATATGAGTATAGTCAATAGTGGATGCAAGAACATCGCATCAACTAGCTCAATGTAGGATGTTTTTTTTTTGTTTTATTTAGTTTGTGAGGAACTGGGTGCTTTATAGCAGTATTCCTTGCCAATAAAGATCGACCTAGTGCTAATAATGTGATAGCGACAGCCTCCAATTGCCATCTCAGTTCAGTGGCAGGTTAAGCCTTGGGCACGACTCTGACCTGGCCTTAACTAAAACAGAAAAAAAGAAAACCTTTGCATAAAACCTCCATGTAACCTGATATCTAATGGTGCATGAGCATGAATCTCAATACTAGTATTTTGTTTCCTCATGTACTAGTTTTCCAAGAAAAAGTTTTGTTGTGCCATGAGCACTACAAACCTATGGATGTTCTGAATTGAATTTCCATTAATTCTACTATTGAAGGTTACTCATTAGCTGGAAAAAAGCACAAAGAAACTAAACAGTGCCCCCGTTACTTGCGTTGAAGTACGTGATTAAGATATATATATATATATATATATATATATATATATGTCAGGTGCAATGCATCAAAGTACTGCATTCTTACCTCACGATGATAACTGGGGTGTATCTGTAGCTCATGCCTCCGGGATAGTTGGCTCACCAAGGTTCACAAAAGACTCTGCACGCATCATGCGTAGAGTGACAGTATCCCAAGAGATGAGATGGTCCATAAAGTTTGTAATATATGCTAGCCTATCATCCTGAAAAGTTGAAAAACAAAGAACCAAAGATGTTTTCTGTGAAGTTATAACCAACTTGTCAAAATTAGGTGTTAAGAACCAAAAGCAAAGAGAACTAGAGCGCACCTTGTATTCTAAGTAGTAAGCATGCTGGAGAGAAAAGGAGAAGTGTCAATATTTGGCACAAAATAGAATCTATAAACTCAGAGTCCATGTATTTACCTCCCACAAGTCTAGGCTGATGATTGGCTGCAATTAGAGAATATGGGATGTCATTGCAAAGTTTGTACTCTAAACATTTTAGAAACCACATCAAGGGAAAAAAAGGGAGTCTAGTAAACATACAATATCACCAAAAGCAAGTGGGGAGATAGCATTTCGTGTATGAACCACTGAAAGCTTTCTCTCATTTCGCTTCACTGCAACAAATATTCAGCGGAATATAAACTAAACTTAGAAATTAGCGTTAGAAAAAGCAATTCGGGAAATCAGTAGCTTGAATCAGTGGTGCCTGTACTTCAGAGAAAATTGAAAGGAAACTTACAGACAAGCCAAACCCAACCAGACCCCAATAGTTGTAAGGCTGAGCGGATAAACTCTTCCCTAAAATTAGTAAACGAGCCAAAATCCTTTTCAATCTGCTGTAGCACACCTCCCTCAGGTAAGCCACCACCTTCTGGTTGCATTGATTCCCAGAAGAAGTGATGGTTCCAGACCTGCATGTCAGAAGACAGAAGCTTGGAACTCCAAAAACCATCCTACTATTGGCGAAAGCATAAATTGCAGTTTTTCTTTTTGAAAGAAAACAAATGACAGGCTGAAGATGATCAGTGCAGACAAAATATAATGAACGGGGTATCATCAACGAGTTACCTGTGCTGCATTGTTATACTCTGGTAATGGATTGCCATTGTTGTAGGCTTCTTTTATCAGATCCTCCAGTGTGTATCCATACAGAGGGCTGGTAGCCAGCTGCTTATTCAAGCCATCCACATAATCTTGATGGTGCTTACCCCAGTGAAGTTCAACTGTCCTCTTGCTCATATAAGGTTCCAGAGCATCCTGAACATCGTACCACAAAACAAAGGTAAACAAAGTTAAAATTTGGACATTCCTTTAATGACAGCACGCAAATCTTTTGAGACTGGCGTCAACAAGCTTACAGACCAGTTTATATGGCGGAGTTGTGAGACCGTAATAGGACACAACTTTCGAAAATCTTCGAGATAGGCCACCCTGCCTCTGTATTTTCTGCAATAAACATCAGGCACAAACAGCACACAATCTCAAAACACATGTCTGCACAGCAATTTCATTGATTCCCACATGCTTTAAAGTATGTGAAGACGCTAGCAGAAGCTCAAACAAACTGGGCCTCACTAAACCAGCAATCAAATACTTTCAATTCAAGGCCCAAGTATGCTCATTGAATAATGAAAATTGTAATTTAGCCTCTTAAAAAGGTATAAGGCCATCTGTGCAATTTAGTCTCTTATTAAGAAGGTAAGGTCATCTAACTGCGCAATCAAACCGTTGGTTTCCATGTGACATAAGTGAGAGACTGAGAGTTCATAAGCATGTGAAACACACTTCGACACACGCGAATCCTCTTATGCTAGAGCAGTATAATGGCAGCCTGGCAACAGTGGCGGAGCTCGATCGAAAATTTAGGTGGGGTGAGTCGCAAACACATAACTAATCTCTACAACCAAAATGCTCAAAGCACTTTCGTCGACACTGTTTCGCCGTGCGCCCCTACAATCGACATGGGTCTGGCACTTGTATAATGGTATAAAGAAGAAGAGAGATGGCGTACGCACGTCCATCTGCTCTCTAGCTCTCCACATTACGGAAAAACATATGGTGACCATCCACCATCCTACCGCATTCTCTGCAAATCCGGTTCACACAATCCATCGAACATGCTGGGGGCGCTGTCCATGAGCTCAAGCTTCGTGTACCCACTACAAGCAATCTCACGAGAATCAGACGGGAGCACATACCACATGCTATGGCGACACCATGGGCGACCTTAACACCGTCCTGGCACCAGCAGTTCGTAGAGCTGTTGTGCCAGCACCTTCTCTGCTTTTTGAGTCGATGGCGGCGGCGAGCCTGCGGGACACAGCGCCGCCGCGGCGAGGGCCGGACGGCGTCTAGGCCTCCAAGGGCGGCGGGCGGCAGTAGGGCCGGTGCCATAGTGAGGGGCGGTGGGCGGCGGCGGCGTGGCACCGTGATGCAGAACGAGCGACAGATCGAGAGAGAGGAGCGGCCGGCCGGGAGTTAACGTGATGGCGCACTTGGTCTGATGGGCTAATGAGCTTACTCGACTGAAACTTGGACCACGTCTCGGGCGCTCGTGGCTCGGCCTTCTTCCTCACGCTATCGCGTCGCGCCGCTGCAGTTGTTCCTGTGCGACACCGAGATGGAGGAAGAAGATGGGGGTGGGGTTCCTCCATGCCGGCGGTAGGTGGGGCAGCTGCCCCACCCTGCCTTATGGGGAGCTCCGCCTCAAGCCTACGGAACACAACAGTAAAACGGAAGAAACTTCCCGGACCGCTCCATACTTGCCACTCTGCCAAGTCGAGGCGCAGCGCCATGGCGGGCAGCGTACTGGGTCCTGGGTGTGGGGCACGCGGGGCAGCAAAGCAACCCCTGTAGGCGTGGCTCCGCTTCTCGCACGATCGAAAACGAACAGGAATGCAGCTAGAAGGGAGTAGAAGAAGAAGGGTGCAGTAGAGGGTCCCGCGGAGCTCACCGAGCGCAGTTGTCGCTGCTGAAGCTTCACACCCACCGGCGGCGAGGGGAGGAAGCGGAGGTGGAGAGCGGAAGCCGCCATTTTTCCTGCGCCGCGCTATCCAAATCCACCCCGCGGAAGCCGGAGCCGGGAATTTCAGCGCAAGTTTGCAGATCAGCCCAACATATTTTCTAAAAGACCCCTTTAGATCGCGACTAATATTATCGATCCTGTGTTTTTCCAAAAATAACCTAACTTTGATCGGGACTATTAATCATTACCCATATATTTTCTAAAAAGATCCCTAACGGGGATATCGAGCATTAAGGCCCTCCACACTGTTGGCTTCAGAACAACTCCAACAACTTAGCTAAAAGTAGAGCCTGTTTGGGACTACTCTGCTCCATCTTTTCTAGCTCTGCTCCACCAACTCCACCACAGAGCAGCTCCACTGTGGAGTTTCTGGAGCAAGTGGACCTGTTCGGCATGTAGTTTAGCTCCAGCTCTGGAAACATGAGATTTCTATAGGAAAGGTCTACTATGCCCCTGATCGATGGCCCCGTTCGCTGGTCTGAACTTTGGCTGAAACTGGCTGAAAACACTGTTCCGACTGAATTGTTGTGAGAGAAAAACACTGTTCCGGCTGAAAAAACAAGCCGAACAAGCCAAACTTTAAGACAAGCGAACGGGGCCGATGTTTAGTGTATGTTCTGTTGTATGCAGAGCATGTGTAATTAAATATTTTTTTACCAATTCAAATATGGTGTAATTGACAAAGCTAGAGATGCAATTTTATCGTTCATGCGTGCTGTCTAGATAGGATGTTGTGTAGTTTTCAAATCATTTGCTGGAAATACATCAAGGAGCGGTGAGTTGAAAGTGTCACGTGGAGAGCTTCAGAAATCAACACACAAGTGATGCAATTTTCGGGTCATGGTTGCAATTGACATGGTTATTATGCACAAAGGTAAAATAGCAGGAAAATTTGTAACCATGATTTTCAGTTCATGACTGAAATCTAAGATCTACATACATTGACTGTTATATTTGATCTATCAGGGTCAAGGTACAAAGTAAAACAGCATCATCCGTTCTTGTTATCACCCCATACCCATAGGGATCAAGCTGGTGACTAGACAACCGATGTCACTCTACAAAAATCATTCAGCAAGTTGCAAGTTCTGAAGCTGAAAGACCAGTACAACTACAAACTATTTCCCGTCAGAAGAAGACATCAAACCTAACTACAGAAAACAGCAGAGTTGCTGAGTTTCTCTGAAACTATCTGAACACGAATGAAAAGAGAGCCAATTCTCATGTCGGTGTTTCTGGAGCAGCAGCACTTTTGAATTCTGAAGAGATGAACTGTGAAGGGGTTGTCAGGAGTCCTACCCTCATACATCTCTTGGGTTTACCACCGGGAACCACAATTTCCTGAACAACTGAATTCACAAGGGAACAAGTAAGAAAATAAGGCAGTTACACAGCTTAGCATGGGTAAACAACTTTTGCAGCAGTTCACTTTCAGTAATATTATTGTCTGACAAGTAAAACAGCTGAAACTTTCAGGAAACCAAGTATTGGCCAAAATTAAATTTAAAGAACAACTTCTGAACTATAAAATATGAACATATGGAACCTGTAATTCCTATATCTGTACCGTTTTAGCATATGTGGAAAGGACTACAGACCCACTAGGAACTGTAAATGTAAGTATACTACAGACCTGATTTTGTTATCGTTCAACCGTTTCTTCCTATCTACAACATTTTCAGATTAATGCAATATCAACAAAACATGGAATTCTCTTCAAATAAGCATAACTTGATACTTGGATATATAAAATAATAAATACTAAGAAAATGATGCTGAATGCAGCTGCTATTCTACTGATCTCTTTACACCACAAATTATACCTGCAGAGTTACTATGAGCTATGCTACACATTATCCAAACTATGGTTTGTACCACATCAGTATGATCTATTGAACCTCTGTCACCATACAACCACTGGAAAATGCAAAGATCACTCACCCTGTGTCCCGATGATGAGGACGATGATGTCCACGGTCTCCTCATTGCGAGGCAGGTCGACGAGCAGCGGGGTCAGCTAGCTGTAGCGGCTGCCCTGGACGCACATCAGGATGTGGAAGAACTAGAACGCATTGCCCGTGCAGCGCGCCACCTCCCCTCTCAGCTCGAACACGGAGCCCCGGAGCCGACAACCTTCCACAGGATGGGGTCCACATCCTGTTCGTAGTCGCCCAGGTCGACGCGGAGGTCGAGGTGGCCCGGCGGCGCCGGGTCGTTCGAGGTGGTGAGGTACCGCCCGTAGGCGGCGCTATGGAGCCCCACCCTAGGCGCCGGTGAGCTTCCTCGACCCACGGACACGCCGGCAGCAGCTTCATGTGAAGTTGGGGGAGGGAAGACGGAGGGGATTTGGGGGTAAGAAAAGAGAGGATCCAGTTCAGGATCAACGGATCTATCTTCTCTGTCCATCACCTGGCCGGATGTCTTGCCATGGCGGCCGGAATGAGCGGCGGCGTCGCTAGGGTTTGGGGAGGACGGGCTAGAGCAGAGGAGAGAGGCGACGGGAGCAGAGGAGGATGAGGGCATTGGGTGGGGGGCAACGGGAGGAAATAGAACAAAACGGTATTTGCATAACGAGTGGCAATTGCGGGTAATTATCTCCAACTCCACGAGGACATACGAAACGCTGGTTTGTGGAGTACCCTCTGAGGAGCTCCGCGAAAAATATGGAGTTGGACCAAAACTCCATCTTTTTTTGGGAGCAGAGTTTGTGGAGTTGGACCTGTTTTGCAGGAAAGTTTGGAAGCAGAGGTACAAAAGGTGGAGCAGAGCAGTCCCAAACAGGCCCTTAATAGCTAAATTTCATAGTTTAGCCATTCTGTAGAATAAAAAACTCCTAAAAAATAAAAGGCCCACAACAGTCTTGCTATTTCTCATTTTCAGATAGCTAGCGTCCGTTGTTGGCTTTATATGTCCATCTAACATCAAGAGATAGTCAGCTTCCTATTTTACAAAGTCAATAGCAGTTGGAGCCTAATGTTTACTATACAAATTCTTAAATAGCCTTCAAAACAAGAAAGGTGATCTATTGGAGTTGCTCTTAGGGGGTGTTTGGATCTATGGGCTAGTCCTTGTCATATCGGACATTCGAATGCTAACTAGGAGGACTAAATATTAGCTAATCATAAAACTAATTGCATAGATGGAGATGAATTTATTAAGCCTAATTAATCCATCATTAGCACATGTTTACTGTAGCACCATATTATCAAATCATGGACTAATTAGGTTTAATAGATTCGTCTCGCAAATTAGTCTCCATCTGTGCAATTAGTTTATGTTTAATACTCCAAATTAATGTCTAAACATCCGACGTGACATGGACTAAAGTTTAAGAGGAGGTATCCAAACACCCCTTTAAAGTGGTGCTTCAAATGAATAAAGAAGGTTTGGACATCAAAATTAGGAGCGATTTATGTGCATGCTCCGATGTCCAGTGGCTAAATAAAAGTAATGCTAAATGATGCTCGAGTGTTCCTCTTCCTCTCATTTTTCTCCATCTTTGGGCTCTCTTCTTCTTCTTCTTCTTCAATTCTAGCGGACTTAGAAGAGGCTCGGGGAGGCCGGCCGGCCAGACGGTAGAGACAACAAGAGGGCGGCGTTAGGTTTACGGTGACGGTGAAGACGACCGGGCCAGGTCAGGACGGGACGCCCATGGCCATGATGATGATAGGAGGAAAGGGAAGAAGGAGGCCACCGCGGGCGCGGTAGGGTCTCATTGGAGCTCCAGCGAGCCCCTACCGTGCTATAGTGAGGCGGTGAGCAATGGGCTACGACGGAGCGTAGCGAGGAGGAAGAAGACGGTGAAGAAAAAATCAGGTGTCAAAAGAGCGTGAAATGCTCGAGTGCTGCTTAAACAGCTCTAATTAGAAAATGTGGCATGCTCTTTATCTCCTGCTCTCTCAAGCCATTCATTGTTTTTATTGTTTATCTATTTCACTGTATCGTGGAACCTATCACTGCGGCACACTACAGCCCAAAAGGAGTGATGCCCATTCTCTTCACTCGATTACCTTTTTATTTGGGGTTAATTTGAATGCTGTCATTACAATTCTGCGACTTTCGAAATATACCATTACAATTCGCGATATTGTAAACTTACCATTATAATTTCAGTGGAACGTGATCGATGCCATTCTGTATGCTTGCTACGACCTGTGGCCCACCTGCAAATGTACGTATATGGTGACATGTTTTGTATGGACCGTATGGACCCTGTCTCATTCGACTATACGAGCTGAACGCCTGGACCCAATGTGCAGCTCACTTCCTTTTTGTCTCTTCTCTCTCCCTGAACCCTAACCCAAGCTTGGCGGCGGCGGTGGCGTAGGTGAGCCGGCGGCGGAGGCTGCGTAGGCGGGCGCAGAGGCACTACAGGCGGGCGCGTAGGCTGCTCAGGTGGCCACGGAAGCTGCACAGGCAAGCACGGAGGCGTTGCACACGACCGCAGCGGCTGCGCCGCAGGTGTCCGTGGACAGGAAGGCCGATGAAGGGCGCTGCGACGATTTTGAGCTCAACGAAGCGAAGCGAAGCAAATGGTGATGCAATTCCCTAGGCAGCGAAGCGACGCTAGTTGATACAGGCACACAGTGTGGATCCAACAGCAATGATGCAATTCACTGGTGATGGGTTGGCCGATTTGAGGCATGAACTTGAAGATGCAACAAGGTTCGATAAAGAAGGAACCAGAGAACAGGAATTGGCAGGTTGTAGTGGATTTTGGTGTTGTAGCAACATTGATTGTTGGTGTCATGATTGGTGTCTTGTTTTCCT